CCTCCTTTGTGTACCAATCTGTTGTGATTTCCCGGTTGTTATCATAATTAATTGTTAGGTCTAGAAAGTTTATAGAATTGCCTTTATCTTCTTCCAGAGTAAACTTTAGGGTGTCATGAAAGGCGTTAAACTTATCTAGTGTATATTGAATTTTGTCTTTTGGCAGGCACATTATGCAGTCATCCACATATCGTTTAAAAAATTCACACTTGTAGTTTAATTTAGATATTATTTGTTCTTCCAAATTTTGCATTACCAAATTTGCAATTGTTGCTGCTATGGGAGAACCCATTGCTACTCCATATATCTGTGAATAGAACTTGGTTTCGTACTGGAAATATGTGGATTTTAAGCACAGCTCTACCGCTGCAATACATTCTTTTTCGGGTAATTTTGTATGTTCTTTTATCTATTAAATTAATGAAAATTTTTTTTAACTGTCTGTTATTTTAGAAAAACTGATAATGGTGGAAAAATACACAGAAACGTATTTTGATTAATAAATAGAGACAATAACTGACTGAAACCCAGGAATAGATTTGATTTTGATTTGAAAATATTGCTATAATCTATCCAGGACAAAACACAAACTTTTATTTTTTGTTTGGTGGTGAGTCCCAAAATATTTTGTCATAATAACGAATACATATTGCAGTATTAATGTTCCACATTTTATAATCTTCAATATTTGCCTCTGGATTTGAAACTGGATATCATAGTGCCGGAAATTATGAATTTGTAAAAATTAGTTTTCACAAAAACCTGCAGTTGCGAAAGTTATACTGTATTTTAATGAATACTTAAGTCTACTTTTATGAAACTCATTTTATTTGCTTCTACTATATACTGCGTGTTCCGTGCATATGTTAAAATATGTTAACAGCGTGTTCTCCTAGTCATTTTAGAGGGGGGTTTTGTTGTTTTTCTTTAAAACGCTTGAACATAGAAACTTCAATTTTAGTATAGATTATTACCTAATTGAGTGCCATTCTATGGCAGCGTTTTGTAGTTTAGTTTACTTTCATACAGGGTAGAAATGTGGCATCTCTATTTTATTTTTTTTCAGAACTTTTTTGTGTGCACTTAAACTTTTGTCAACATATTTTTTTTAATTACTACAAGTTCTTTATCAACTTTTTTATCTCTTATTGTTTTTTCTTAAGAGCACTAGTTTGCTCGCAAAAAAATTAAATCTTTTCGGCTTGATAAAAAATTTCCAAGCAGTTGGATTGCTCCGATAAACTTGCCTCCTATATCTCCGGATCTAAACGCGCTTGATTTTTACTTCTGGAGCCATTTAAAAAATGCGGTATATTCAACGGAAGTGAATACAATCGAAGAATTACAGGAAAGAATATTTAATATTTCTAACGAAATTAGAACAACTGAAGAACAGTGCAAACTTTACGGTCTGTAAATTTTAATATCATTAAAAGACTGCGATTATGCCAAGAATGTCAAGGTGACCAATTGGAACAGCTGCTAAGTTAACATTAGAATGGATATTTAAATTTAATTTTGTTTAATACAATAAGAGGTAAAAAAGTTGATAAATTACTTGTAGTAATTAAAAAAATTATGTCGAGAAAAGTCAAGTGCACACAAAAAAGTTCTGATCAAACCAAAAGTAGGGGTTCCACATTTCTACCCTGTATAAAAGCAAACTGACCCATGAAACACTACCATAAATTCTCAAGAAGACCCCGCCCTAAAATGACTAAAAGAACACGCTGTTAAATTATTTTAACATTTTTACGAAACACCTTGTATAAATTTAATACATAATTCAGTTTCACTGATTTTTTCGAGGTGGTTCGAACAACAGATTTATTGCATATATTCTCTTGTTTCAAAAAACGGAAAAGGAGGAATAAAATGCTTTTATTATACTTTTCTCGTTTACTTTTAGTCCGGTTTTGATAATAATTTCTGACTCCACAGTTATATTCACGTTTTGATTCAGATCACCTAAAGAACGTAAAAATTATACATTACAAAATTGTTGTTATTTCGTTTATAATCTTTATATATATTTATAATCTTTATATAAGGCCTTTACGTATAATTGTTATGCACGTTTACAAAGTTTTGCCAAACGGAAACATTTTGAAGCCCATAGATATTTAAAAAGTAGTTAAAATAGTTAAAATTATGTTATGCAAAGTGCGTGTCATACATTAACAAGTTATGCAGCATCTAATTTTAGATTTCACATTAAACGGCTTGATGTAAATGTATACTTAGTCTTTACTGTTGTCTCGACAAATTGTTTTGACTTTGTAGAGTATTGAGTTGATTTTTGCGGCGTAAAAAATGTACAATTTTGCACTTAAAGTTTTGAAAAAACGTCTGTTCTGCCGATAGAAAAAAATATCCGGTAGTGCCACTGTGGCGCATTCCGAATAAGCCACCCACCATCTCCGAAAATCCAGGAAATTTATCTAACGGCTTTATTTCTTATCTTAACGTGCTAGACGTGAGGTGGATGTCTGTTTCAAGAATCTGTTTGAATATTCCAATCTTGCGCGAGGTTTGGCTGGAAGTGGGCCGTCTCGTTATACAAATTGTTCATATCTGAACATTACCATGCTAATAGCTCCTTCACTTTATTCTCCTGCTGTCTAGAAAACGGTTACTACCGAAGACGATGTACGTGAGCGAAATGGCTGCCTGCTTTAAAGCATACTTCCTAATTTTGATTTGCTAAATCTAAGCGAGTCGGTCTCTTTGAATACTTAATTACTTCTTCTACGTACTGGATGTTTTGCGTTTCCTTAAGGCAATTTTTGCTCAAAATGTGAGCGAAACAAATTCGCACATGCACTTCTGGAGGAGTAATGAAGATTCTTCATTAAAATATGGAAATTCTATTTAGAATTTTGAAAATTTGGCAGGAAATCAATGCATAACATTAACGTTC